CCGGGCAGCGGGCGGGGTGGCGCTGGCCCCGAGGGTCGCCCGCCTGGCACAGACCAGAGCAGGGGGATGTGCCTGGGCCGCCGCTATCCTAGCTCCCCCCCCAACCCAACCTGCAACTCCCCAAGACTGCTGGGAGCTGGGGGGCAGGAAGGGCGTTTCAGGGGCCGGCTCTGTTGCTCCCTGCCACCGCGTTCTGCCCCAAGATCCCCCTCACCCACGTGCCCCAGCATGCAACAGGAGATGCCCTCACTAGAGACAAAGGGAGCCCCCACCCCCGGCCACCAGGCCCCCTTGCGCAGCCCACAGATACTATGGGGCCCAGCGAGTCGGGCCCAGCCTGCGGGTTCTAGTGGGGCTGGGGTGGCGTCTCTCCGCCTCCCGGCTGTGGCCATGGGGCAGGGCTGCCGGCCAGGACGCATCTCAGCACAAGAGAATCCAGCCGGGGCTCCCCCCAAGTGCAGCCCCCCCTCAGCAGAGCTCCCCCGCCCAGGGAGTGAGAGACAGGCCACCTGTGGGGCGGGGCGCTGCAGGCCGTGGGGCAGCCCACGTGGGGGAGCTGAGTGCAGGGGGGAGCACGCTGGGCCCCGCCGCCCGCGTCCGTCCGAGGGGAGCTATTAAACGGAAAGAATGCGCTGGCTTTCCGGCTTGGCCCCTCGCAGCTCTGCCACAAATGGTTTCAATTTGAAAGGGAGGTGGCTGCTTTCTGCACCTCCATGGCAGGGCTGCTGGGGAAGGGGCCAGCGAAGGGGCTGGGGGGCTCTGCAAATTCCAGGCCTCCTGCGGGTCCTAAGGTCTCCTCCTGCCCCCTCAGCTCCGCTCCTCCCTTGCTGCGACCCCCAAGCCTCCCTCTATCACATGGGGGCCTTCCCTTCCTTGCCCCGGCCTCTGCCCCCAGGGGTGGGGCCTGCACCTGGACTGGGGGGCTAGAAGCATGCCCCCTGCTGGCTCTACTAGGACCTGGCATACCTGGGGCCCCCCACCCAGATTTCAGCAGTGCTGAGATGGGTCCCCTCCCTTCACCTCGCGGGACCCAGCCCTTTGAGTGCACCTCCCCTTGGGGGAGGTGGAGACAAGCCCTGAGACTCAGAGGCCCAGCACCCGGCCCTCACCCCTGCATCAGGTCTGGTCCCCTCCCTCCCTGCCAGACAGGGAGAGATGGGCGAGAAGGGGAGTTTGGGCTAGAGGAGGGGGTAACCCCTGGGCACAGAGTGCAGAGGATTGTGGGAAGGAGCTGCCCAGCCTGATTCTCCGGCCTGGCCCCCGAGACCCAGCGTCCCCCTGCACAGCAGGTGTGAAAAATCCCAACAGCAGCATCTGTGCCCTCTTGGTCCTGGGGCAGATGGTGTTGCCCACAGCCTGGGCCCTCTGTCACAGGTCCAACAGCTGCCCCGCCCTGGAGTGAAGCATGTCCAGCTGGGGGGAAAGGAGGAGGGGCTGCCCCACAGCGGAGCGGGACAAGTGCACTTGTGACCAGCAGTGCTCCCTGTAAGCAGTGCGCTTGGGCACCCACCCAACGGGTACTGCCCAGCTGATTAACAGAGCACCCACTGCCGGCAGCATGTGTTTCTGTTGGTGGTGCACATCTGCACCTGCATCGGTGCACAGCACAACATTTATTCCACACACAAATGGAAAAATGTGAGGGAACATTGGTTACCAAAGCCAGAAACAGGCAGGCCACAGAGACCAGATGCCCCATCCTTTCCCAGGGCCCTGCCAGAGCCAGGCTGGGCACACTGGCAGGCCCTATTCTGGGGGACCAGGTTAGCCATCCCCAGATCCAACGGACAGTCTCTCTCTTCCCCAGAGCACACCGGCTCTCTCCTCTGCAGCCCTTCGAGCACCTTCCGCCCAAGGCCAGGTGGAGGCATGTCCTGAGGGGAGGCCACAGCTGTGACTCAGGGGCACAGCATGTGGCCCTCACCCCTGCTTCAGGTCTGGTCCCCTCCCTCCCTATGTCTCTTCCTCAGCTGCCGTGCGGTGAGGGTGCAGGGTGTTAGCACCTGCCTGTCTCATTCCTGAGCCTGGCAGGCCCCTAGCCCCACATGCATGATCTTTGCCCCCCACCCGAAAGACCCGGCTCGTACTAGTTCAATACAGCCGGTGCCACTGCCCCACTATGGACAGAGCGGTAGGCTACTGGGGCGAGAACCCGGGACCCCAAGGCTCTCAGTCCAGCTGGGCTCCTGGGCTTAGCCCAGTATGGCAAGCTGAAGCTAAGTCCTAGCCCTCCCCCCCACAGCCTCTGGGCAATTAACACAGTCAGGGTCCTCCCCACCCTCCAGCAAAGATTTGGTCCTAAGCAAGACTAGCTAAGAGTGATAGGAGAGATTCAGTGGGACCCAGGGCCTTTCCCTGCTAGGGGCACCAGCTCTGGGCCAGCCCCACGGCAGGGGCTGGCTAGCAGGGTGTGCGGGGGTCTGGGACCCAGGACTTCTCCCCTCTAGGTACTGCCGGTTTGGGTCCAGGGCAGATCAATAGCCCCCCAAAACCATTCCCTTCGGAATGCAGATGGACTCTCCGGAGCTGGTACCCTGGGGGCCCCGAGGTGGGACCCTTCCCGACCAGGGGGTGGCTCCTGCTGCTGCTCTTGGTACCTGCTATGGAGAAGAGGTACCCCCAGGGCTTTTGACGCAACCCAGGCCTCGCGGCACGCGGCCCTCTGCCCAAGCTGCATTTATCATGGAAAGTTCTCACTGAGCACAGGGCCGTGTCCCCGTTTCCCCAGGCAGCCAGCCTGCCCCCTCCCGCTCTGCGCAGTGATCCAAGCCCTGCGCCCACCTGCCACTCCGTGGACATCGTCTCTGTTTCCGCTGGCACCACGTGCCGACACCTGCCCAAGGGACCCAACCCTCCATGTCCAGCATGTTTGATCCTGAACACCCCACACAGACCTGCCCCGAATGCTGTACAGGGGAGCAGGGATCTCCCTTTCTTGGCCCTACCCTATCCACTAACCCCCAGGGTCCTGCCAGAACGTGCATTGTGACATCATAGGCTGGGATGACATCAGAAGGCCCCCTGGTGATGTCACAATGGCCCAGCCTCCCAGAGCAGCTGGGCATATTCACCGACGAGGTGCACAGGGATCTGGCTGGCTCGGGCACCCTGCAGTCCCTCGCACGGCGTGCGCCCTGCTACCCCCGCAGCCCAGCGGCTCCTCTCAAGAGCCCGTGACTCATTTACATGCAATATGACTAATATTGAGCAAGCGGGCGCCGCACGCAGCCGGCCTCTCCTGGAAACTCTCCCTCCATCACGCTTAAATGGAGAGGCACCGCCACCCGCCCGGGCACAGTCCCACTGCTCGGCAGCCCGGGGCCAGGCCGCTGC